AATTTGATATCTACCGGGAAGTTAGATGATGAAAGCTTCAACAACAAATTTGGTGATGGAATATGGAAGCTCACAAAGGGTTCTTTGGTGGTGACTAAGTATAAGAAGACTCACACACTTTATTCGATTCAAGAAAAAATTTGTAAAGGTGTTGTTAATGCACTTGAAGATGATACTTCTACCGAATTGTAGCACAAGCGGCTTGGGTACATGAGTGACAAGGGGTTGCAAATTTTGTTCAAGAAAGAGCTTCTACTCGGTTTGAAAGGTACACATCTTAAAACTTGTGTTCATTGTTTGGCGGGTAAACAACATAGAGTTTCTTTTCAGAAAAAATGTTACTTCTAGAAAAGAAAATGTTTTGGAGTTGATTCATTTGGATGTTTATGGTCCTTTGAAAGTTAGAACACATAGTGGTGCACTTTATTTTATTACTTTCATTGATGATTATTCAAGAAAAGTTTGGGCTTTTTTACTAAAAACTAAAGATCAAGTTCTAGAAGTATTTAAGCATTTTCAGGTCATGGTTGAAAGAGAAACAGGGCAGAAATTGAAGTGCATCCGATCAGACAATGGTGGTGAATACATTGGGCCATTTGATGAGTATTGTTGCAGCCAAGGTATTCGGCACCAAAAGACAGTTAAGAAGACTCCTCAACAAAATGGCATTGCTGAGAGGATGAACCGCACTATTGTAGAAAGAACAAGGTGTTTGCTTTCACAAGCTAAATTGCCAAGATCCTTTTGGGGTGAGGCAATGAAAACAGCCATTGATGTGATCAATTTGTCTCCTTCCTATCCTTTGAATGGTGATGTTCCAGAAAGAGTTTGGATCGGCAAAGATGTGTCCTACGAGCACTTGAGAGTGTTTGGTTACCGAGCTTTTATTCACATTCCAAAGGATGAAAGGTCCAACCTCGATAGTAAGTCAAGACAATGTATTTTTCTTGGCTATGGGCGTAATGAATTCGGGTATAGATTGTGGGATCCAGTCGACAAGAAAGTCATTCGAAGCCGTGATGTTGTGTTTCTTGAAGACCAAACAATTGAAGACTTTGGCAAAGGTGATCAACCGGAGCCAAAAACTAGTGATCTCATTGACATAGATCCATCTCCTTCATCTTCAGTTGATGATGAAAATGGGGGAGATATGCAGTCACCTATTGAAGATGTAGAGGATGATGCTAATCCTAATGAAGTTGAGCCAGAAATTGAGGAAGAGCATTCAACTCAAGAACCGCCACCATAACTTGAGTTGAGGAAATCTACAAAGGACCGACAACCTTCAAGAAAATATCCTCCTAATGAATTTGTGTTGATTTCCGATCAAGGGGAGCCTGAAAGTTACTAAGAAATAATTGAGCATACAAAGAAAGGTGATTGGAAAAAGGCCATGGACGAGGAGATGAATTCCTTACTTGAAAATCACACCTATAATTTAGTGAAGTTGCCTCAGGGAAGGAAAATTTTGAAAAATAAGTGGATCTTCAAATTGAAGAATGATGGCAAGAATCTGAGGTACAAAGTATGTCTTGTTGTGAAAGGCTTTGGGCAAAAGAAAAGTATTGACTTTGATGAGATTTTTTCACCAGTTGTGAAGATGTCTTCTATTCGGGTTGTACTTGGCATGGCTGCAAGTATGAACCTTGAAGTTGAACAACTTGATGTGAAAACCGCATTTCTTCATGGTGACCTTGAAGAAGAAATTTACATGGAGCAACAGGAAGGCTTTGTGGAAAAAGAGAAAGAGAAATTTGTTTGCAAATTGAATAAAAGTTTATATGGCCTCAAGCAAGCCCCGCGGCAATGGTACAAAAAAATTGACTCTTTCATGATGAATAATGGTTTTTCTAAAACCACTTCGGGCCATTGTGCGTTTATGAAAACTTTTCCGGATGGTAAATTTATTATTCTTTTGCTTTATGTTGATGACATGTTAATTGTGGGTCAAGATTACACTATAATTAACAGGTTGAAATTAGAGTTAAGTAAGTCTTTTGCTATGAAAGATTTGGGGCCGGCAAAGTAAATACTTGATATGAAAATTGTTCGTGAGTGCAAAGAGGGGCTGATTTGGTTGTCTCAAGAAAGCTACGTTGAGAAAGTTCTTGAGAGGTTCAACATAGATAAAGCAAAGCCGGTTTGTTGTCCACTTGCGGGTCACTTCAAGCTTAGTTTGAATCAATGTCCTACAAGTGAGAAAGACAAGGAAGAGATACTGAAAATTCCTTATGCTTCAGCAGTTGGTTCTTTGATATACGCCATGGTTTGTACAAGGCCGGATATTGCTTACGCTGTTGGTGTGGTGAGTCGGTTTCTCTCTAATTCGGGTAAAGAACATTGGAGAGCGGTAAAATAGATCCTAAGATATCTTTGAGGGACTTCTAAGAGGTGTTTGTGTTTTGGGGATGGTAAGCCGATGTTTGATGGGTTCACAGATTCTGACATGGCTGGTGATGTTGATTCTAGGAAATCTACATCGAGGTATTTGATGACTTTTGCAAGGGGAGCTGTGGCATGCCAATTTAAATTTAAAAAATGTGTTGCTCTCTCAACTACCGAATCTGAATTTATTGTCATTACGGAAGCTTGCAAAGAAGAGTTATGGTTAAAGAAATTTTTGCAAGAGTTAGGTTTGAAGCAAGAAAAGTATGTTCTTTATTGTGATAGTCAAAGTGCTATTCATTTGAGCAAAAACTCTACTTTTTATTCAAGATCGAAACACATTGATGTGAGATACCATTGGATTCGTGATGTGTTAGATTTGAAATTGTTGCAACTCGAAAAGGTTCACACAGATGATAATATTTCGGATATGTTGACAAAGACTTTGTCAAGGGACAAATATTTAAAGTGTTGAACTTTGGCGGGTATGGCTGATGTCTCCACCTAAGTCGATAGGGGGAGAATTGTTGAGTATACCTCCGTATTGAAGTTTGAAACCTAATTGGTTTATTAGAAGAGTTTTAATTTGGTTTGGTTTAAGTATAATATATTTTTATATATTATAACTAATTTGTGGAGATCTAATTCAATTTAGTAACAATTAGGGTTTGATTACAAAACTCAATACTCAACTATATATATATATATTTGGTATTGGTTTTTCCCTAAGAAAAAAGTGTGCGGCTGCTATACCAATTATATGGCTTCGGTAGTAGTGCCGAATAATTACATTTTGTGAAGATTTGTCAAGGGTGCTTGATTTGTTGATGGTTATGTTGCCTCTATTGTGAAGTTGATTTGGTTCGTTATTTTGGATCTTCTTCAACTTTGGTTTCGAAGATTTTGGTTCATCTATTTGGTGAGATCTTTCCTCTTATGTATTTGTGATTATTTAGAATTTACCTAAGGGTCGTTTTGTAAGACCATTCGTATCTCGTTTGGAAACTCTTTGGTTGATAGTGGAATCGGATTTCGATCCCGTAGACATACCTCACATTAAGGGAACTACGTAAAAATTCTTATATTATTTTTAATTTAATTTTTTCGTATTAATTTTTATTCTCATTGATTGATTTACTTGTGAAAAATCATATATTTTACGATAATGATTAGTGGCCACAAATTCTATGGCTCAAATGACTCGAAAATATCAAAACAACATCGTTTTGAGTACAAATAACTCTAAAAATGTCAAAACGATATCATTTTATTATTTTTAAACTATTTAAGCCACAAAATTTATGATCACCAAACATTTTTCTATATTTTATTTACCAGAAGTAAAGAAGGGCGGCTTTCCTTTCATTTTCACCGAAGGTTCCTTATCCATTATTTAAATGAAGTAAAATGTACGGTACCGTACATCTGTTCTGTACCTTCTCAATATTATATATATTTATAGTCTACCATACTCTTTGACTATTAATATTATTTACTCAAAAAATAAAAATAAAAGAAGAAGAAGAAGAAATCTACGTGTGAAGCTCTAAAAAATTCATGCAACTCTCCACGTTGATGCATTATGCAGCTAAAATTTAGGGGCCATATTCGTTTTGGTGAGCAATAGGTACCGTTTAAAATTATAAAAATGCTGGATGCCAAATGAATTATTACCTATTTTACCCAATATTTATATGGGTATAAATTTTATGTGTTGTATTATATACAATAAAAAATGTTTGGGACTCCCTTTGAATGATCTACACACCCTCCAAAATGATCATGACTCTCCATGTGTGTATAGAGTCCACTCATGTATGTGTGGAATCCACATCATGAGTGATTCAGATTTATGAAGGATCTTGTGAGGGTGAGGGTCTTAATCATTACTTTATGTACAATATTTAGTGAGAAAATAGGTGTAGAATAATATAATCTAATCATATGCTTATGGTTGTTCGATGAATTTTAATTTTTTCATAAATAATCAATTCAAAAAACTTCACAGCATGAATCATTTAGAATCATCAAGAAAAGATCTCACATACGATTAAAAATCAAGGAAAGAAAAGGGAAAAAAATGACATTCAAAATGAAGAATTTATTTACAACATTATCTCAAAAATAGGGTATGTTTGGTTTGAGTTTGGGAGATGAGTTTTAGAGATAAAAAGTATGAAAAGTTGTTTGGTTTGGTTTTTTTCAAAAGATGTTTTGAAAAATTATTTTGAGAGAGAGTTTTAGAAAAAGTGATTGATTTGATGTGTATGAGAGAGATTTATTTGGAAAACTTGTAAACCAAACAAGTTTTGGGAAATTTTTTTTGGAAAAATTTATTTGATTTGATTACTTTTGAAAATTTATTTGTAAAAAAAAAATTTTCAAAAATTTTTGGGAAACACAAACCAAACAAGGCCATTTTCTCCCTCTTGTTTTCCATGGTAAGGTCCAAACAAGTGACCATGAATTCTTTTATATTCTTGTTTTCCTTTCCCTTGCTAAATCTACAAACCAAACATGGCTTATAATGGCTTGGCTTTTACAATGTCAACGGCAAATCCATTATAAGTACCATGGCACCTCTCCATCCCACAACCACACCAGCAACAATAACTTTTAAGAAAGAGAGAGAGGATGGCAAGATCCATGCATGGAGTACTAGTAACAAGCAGGGAACAAGAACAACCCTTTGCCCTCTCCATTGCCTCACCATCACCACAACTAGTTCCTACAAATCCCACATCAAAAAAATTCTCTTTACCAGTAGATTCAGAGCACAAAGCCAAATCCATCAAACTCTTCTCCTTCTCCCAACCCCACATGAGGTCCTTCCACCTCTCATGGATCTCCTTCTTCACCTGCTTCGTCTCCACCTTCGCTGCTGCCCCTCTCGTCCCCATCATCCGCGACAACCTTAACCTAACCCGATCCGACATTGGAAACGCCGGTGTCGCCTCCGTTTCCGGAAGCATCTTCTCCAGACTCGTAATGGGCCTAGTCTGTGACCTCATAGGCCCAAGATACGGCTGTGCATTTCTCAACCTCTTAGCAGCCCCAACTGTGTTTTGCATTTCGTTCGTGTCATCGGCTGGAGGGTACGTTGCTGTCCGGTTCATGATCGGATTCTCTCTTGCGACGTTTGTGTCGTGCCAGTACTGGGTTAGCACCATGTTTAATGGTGAGATTATTGGGCTTGTTAATGGGACTAGTGCTGGGTGGGGTGATATGGGTGGTGGAGTCACTCAGCTCTTAATGCCTTTTCTTTTTCATGTGATTAAATTGTGTGGAGCCACTCCTTTCACTGCCTGGAGGATTGCATTCTTCATTCCAGGGTGGCTTCATGTGATTGTAGGGGTGATGGTGTTAGTCCTTGGCCAAGACTTGCCTGATGGGAACCTCAGTACCCTACAGAAGAGGGGTGATGTTCCCAAAGATAAGTTTTCAAAGGTAAGTTACTAAAAGGAGGAGGGATCCTCTCTTCTGTCACTCTAACTGTCTCATTCTTTGTGTCTCAAAACACACTGAAAATCTTAAAGTGTTATAATGTATATATTATAGGGGTTACTAATCATAAAAATTCGGAAAGAATAATATTAAGGATCATGAAAAAAAAATTATAAAATGTTTCATGAAAATGTTTTATCCCTTGATTAGTGTATAGTGTTTTCTTATATAGTAATGTTAGGTATTATGAAAAAAAATTTATGAAAATAATTATGAAAGCTTTGTGACACTTGAATTATACTTAGAATAAAGCAGTATACACTAATCAAGGTAATCTAAGGAACATAAATCTTTCATGATCATTTTCATGAAAAAAATTTCATGATTCCTAACTTTTCTCTTTCTTATATGTGTAATTTAATGGTGAAAAATCTTTCATGATTATTTTCATGATATTTTTTTTATGATACCTAGCATTATTCATTAGAAAACATTTGTAACTATTGAATTATTGAAAATCTTAAAGTGCTATAATATATATGTTATGGGGTAGCTAAACATAGAAATTTAGAAAACACTTATAACGATTGAATCACTGAAAATCTTGAAGTGCTATAATATATATGTTATGGGATAGCTGAACATAGAAATTTAGAAAGAAAAACTATAACACCAAATGAGTTGCAGAAATTTTGACCAACTGAATTAGTCCTAATCCTCTGAAAAAAGTCCAGTTGGTTCCCTTTCTTTCCATCTCTGGTTCTCTCTCTCTCTCTCTATTTGTATCTCTCATGCATGGAGCTATACTGTTAATTCTTGTTCAGGTGTTCTGGAATGCAGTAAAAAATTACAGAACTTGGGTTTTCTTCCTCCTCTACGGCTATTCCATGGGCATTGAACTATGCATAAACAATGTCATTGCAGAGTATTTCTACGACAGGTTAGCCAACTTCTTCTTCACTCCCGTTTCAGAATCCCCAAATCAAATACTTGAACTAACCAAAACCTCTAACTCCAACAGGTTCAATCTCAAGCTCCACACCGCCGGAATCATTGCAGCCACCTTTGGCATGGCCAACATCGTGGCTCGGCCTTTCGGAGGATACGCTTCTGACCTAGCAGCCAAAAACTTCGGCATGAGAGGCCGGCTCTGGACTCTCTGGGTCCTCCAAACCCTAGGAGGACTCTTCTGCATTTGGCTTGGCTTTGCGAATTCTCTTCCAGTCGCCATACTAGCCATGGTCCTCTTCTCCATTGGAGCTCAGGCCGCGTGCGGAGCAACATATGGTATAATCCCTTTTGTTTCGTGGCGGTCTCTGGGCCTTCTGTCTGGTTTAACCGGAGCCGGAGGGAACTTTGGAGGTGGATTGACTCAGCTAGTGTTCTTTTCGGGCTCAAAATACTCCACCGCGAGAGGGCTGACGTGGATGGGGGTTATGGCGGTGGCTTGTACTCTTCCGGTGGTGGTGGTGCACTTTCCGCAGTGGGGAAGTATGTTCTTGCCGCCATCGAAAGGTGGAAAGTGCACTGAAGAAGAGTACTACTCGGCAGAGTGGAATGATGAGGAGAAACAGAAGGGTTTGCACCATGGTAGTCTTAAGTTTGCAGAAAACAGTCGGTCGGAGCGTGGGAAGAGAAATGCATCACCACCATCACCAACCCCGCCGGAGTCGACTCCAATCCATGTTTAGTGCTTCATAATATTGTTTTTAAATAATAGTATCAAAATATATATGTAACGTTATCAGATCAGAATTAAAAGTTAAAATTCTGATACATATTAATTTGATACTAAAACCGTACAAGCTACATCAAAATCAATATCATGCAAGTGGAGACCATTAAACAAACCCACACTATCGAATTGGTTAACTCAAATTTATTCGGATAAAACTCTTCTTGATAGGAATTTTTAATTTTTGAAAACTCACGGGGACTAATAAGACACTTTCCGAGAAGAGTCTCATTCAGATGAATTTGAACTAAACGAATTCGATAAATGGATCATTAATTTAAACCAAAATAGATTGAAAGAGCACTAAAAAGTTTACTGTCACTGGAATATGTAGTTTGTTATTTTAGTATTTCAATGTCTACGACTTTACTGCAATATATCTCTATCAGTATTTCGTCATAACAGCCATACGCAGCCGTACATGCACGACTGTTGTAATAGAAAAATGCTAGGCGGCCAAAAAATTTACCAAAAATTTTGGAATCTCTAGTATGGTTGGTTGTGAGAGTAGTGTATGATAATAGAAAGAAAAATAGAGATAGAAAAAGTTTTTAAAAAATAAAATAAAATAAAAAAGTTATTTGAAATTATTATTTGTGCTCCTCACCAGTATATTTTCTTAGGAGTTGTTTGAGATAATTTAAATAAATATACTTTTTGATTTTTTACAAAAAAAAAATATAAAAAAATCAAGATATGATACGACCTAAATAAGTGCACTTATTTACTTTATACCAAATAGTGCTATCAAATCCTTATAATAAAAACAAATACAATATTAATTAATTATATTTTCTTCTGCCAATAAAAAAAAAATACAACGTTAATTAATAAGTCGATCAAGAAACTTCAAGCCAAAATAAAAAGACCACGAAACTGATATATATTTATTTTGGCCAGGTTAGTCTCCAGTCTATTATTTTGGCCAGGTTAGTCTCCAGTCTATTTTGTGGATTGAACAGTGATATTGGGCTTGTAAGACCCACCACATGTCCTGTTTCGATAATCCAAACCATTCAATGTGTAGAGCTCATCAAGTACTTTATCCTTACAAAAAATCACATTAATTGGATATCGATAACAGCTTGATCAGATCATATTTTTGTTAACAATTTATTTTGAAAATTATATTTACCGTTGACAGAAATCTGACCTAATCAAGTAGCTATTGATATCCGATCAAAGTGATTTTTTGTAGGGATAAAGTATTCGACGAATTCTACATATTGAACGGTTCGGATTATCAAAAAAAGACCTGTGGTGAGCCCCATGGAAGCCTAGCCCTATTTATAAAAGAAAAAAGTCAACTATCACAGCAACAAATTTTATTTTTTTTAGGGTAAATTATACTGACACACCCTGAGATTTCTGTTTGATACAATTCTCCCTTCACATTTAAAAATTATACTTGCCCCCTGTCAAATTAAAATGGCATATTTGCCTCTTAGCGTTTATAGATATAAAATAATAAAATAATGTAAATATTTTGTTCATGTCATTTGACCTAACAACTTACAACAACAACAACAACAACAACAACAAAAGATCATTAAGAAAGGCATGGAGTAAAAGTATAGAGCGGGAGAAGGTGGTTGGAAGCCAGTTCTCCGCAAACATGGAAGAATTGGAAGAGGTTTCTCAGAGCAAAAAGTAGGCATGTATACACTTTTTGTGGATGAAATACCTTAATCAATGGATCCATAGCGTATAAGAGGAGGAAATAGACACGATCAAGAATTGGATTTGTAAGGTACGATTGCCCAGTTGCGGCACAAATGGCAGTACAAAAAGAAAACGGCCTATGGTGTGAAAACAGAGCACTAAAAGTAAAACAAGCAGATTTTGAGAAGGACCAGGGGGCAAAACCAAGATTACCATATGTCAAAGAGGTAAGAAAGGAAGAAAAGTCAACTTATGCAACTGTTAATCTGGAAAATATAAAGAAATCATATACTCAGGTGGTAGATAAAGGGAGGAGGAGAGAGTACACAAGTTTAACCATAAGAGCTTATGAAGAAGGAAATGGATGGTTGTATGAGAGTGCAATTGTTCGGCTGAAACCGAAATGCTCGGAGGAGGATTTTAGGAAGGAATTAACTAAGAGTGAGGTGGGGACCGTTAAAGTCACAAAAGCAGGTGGAAGGGATATAGTTGTATCTTTTCAATCAGCTCAAGAGAAGAAAGAAAAACTCGGCATATGATGAGTGGCTGGATTAAGGAGTGGCGTGAATCAGTCAAGGAGTGGAAAAAAAGGAATGGTCATTGAACAAGAAAGATGTGTTTGGCTGTGTCGCTATGGAGTACCTTTAAATCTCTAGAACAACAAAACCTTCAGCAGTATAGGAAGATTATGGAGAGAAATTATTGAGGTTAATAATAAAACTCTTAATATGAACAGTTTACAATGTGGAAAGATAAGAATTGCAACCACATATATGGAATCTATAAATAAAACAGTGAATCTCGATTGCCAAGGAACTCTATATCCTTTGAAAGTATATGAGGAGCAAATTATTACCAAGGTGGTAATAAGTAAGGTATGAAAATGTCATAAGAAGCATGGTGATGAAGATATTTACAGTTCATATAAGCTAGAAGATGAACAGAAATCAAAACAGAGGAACAACTGGGGTGAGCATAAAGATGATAAGGTGGATATCCAACAACATGATGAGTTGGGTACAATGAATGACATGGCAGTCGGAGAAAGGAGAAGAAAGCATGAAGAGAGAGCTGACATGGAAGGCAGAGACAACGAATTAAATGTTTCACTGGTAGAGGAAACTGTCAACAACTTGGGAAAATCAAACAGTAAAGGTGCACGAACAGGCATGATGATGAGGGCTGCGCATGAAGAGAAGCATGAAGAGCAGGGGGTTAATCGAATAGTCGATGGAGAGGTGATGACATCAGGTTTTATGAAAAGTTTGAGTGGGTCTATTTAATCTATACCTGGGTTGAATCTTGAAATGGTTCTAAACAAGGCCCATGAACAAAACTGTGATATGGGCCATGGTAGTGGTGTTGCTACCTAGCCCAATTGTTCAGATCCAAATCAGGTTATCAGTAACATTTTGAACCAAGCCCAAATTGTAGAGAAGCAATAGCCAAATAAAAAGGAAACAGGGGGAGAAGCATCAAAATCTTATCAAGTAAGAAAAGCTAGCAATAAAGAAAAAACAAAAGGGGTTTCAGGTCCTTATTTTAACCAGAAGGGCAACCTCCAGATTGGGAAAAATAGGAAAGAAATGCCGAAGAATGTGAAGAAATAGGCTGTTTTCAGGGCAACAATAGCAGTAATTTCACTCTCCATGTCAAGTCAGTCAAGAAGAAGGGTCCTTAATGAAGCTGAAACAAATTTGCAGCTCAGTAGGGTATGGTAAGTTTGTAATGAAGCTATTATCTTGGAATGTAAGGGGCTTGGGGAAGTCAATTAAAAGGAGGAGGATAAAAAAGGTGCTATTTGACAATAAAGTTGATATGGTGCTACTGCAAGAGACTAAGAAAGCTTTCAGTAATGAAAAATTAGATGGGTCAATTTGGCAAGGAGACAGGATGGATTTATGGCAGTGGATTCAGAAGGAGCTGCTAGAGGCTTACTTTGTGTTTGGAATCCAGAAGTGTTTCAACTTAAAGATTGTTGTTGCAATAAAAAATTTCATTCTCTTATCAGGTTTACCATAGTTTTGAGTGTGAGGTGGTGAATGTCTATGGTGCTAATGATGCAAGAAAAAGGAAGGAGGTGTGGGATATCCTATTAAATATTAAAGCATTATTTCCTAATCCTTGGTGTGTGTATGGGGTGGGGGGTGGGGATTTCAATGAGATCAGGAGAATATCAGAAAGAAAAGGGTGCTCTAGAATAGATAGAGGGATAAGAGAATTCAATAAAATGATTGACCAATTAGAGCTAACTGAATTACTAATGTTTGGGAGGAATTTCACCTGGGGTAATTCTCAAGAAGGGGAAAGGTGGAGTAATTTAGACAGATTTCTCCTAAACCTAGACTGGATGTGTAATTTTAACTTAAAATTGTGGGGCCTTCCTAGAAGGTTTTCAGATCATAGTCCTATCCTACTGATGGAAGATGAGAGGGACTAGGGCCCTAGACCCTTCAAATTCATTAATGCATGGTTTCTCCATCCAAGTTTCATGAACGTGGTACAGCAATGTTGGTCAGAAACAGTGATAGATGGTTGGGCTGGGTTTAAGTGTTTGAAAAAATTGAAAGCTTTGAAAGCAACATTAAAGCAGTGGAATAATGAAGTCTTTGGTAATGTTGAATTCAAACTGAAACAAGTTGAAGAGGAAGTATAAGCTTTAGATTTACTGGTTGAAGAACGGTCATTATCATCATCACAGGCTGCTAGAAGAAGGGAGGCAAAAGGGAAAGTATTGAAACTGAGGAAAATGGTGCAGTGGGTTTGGCTTCAGAAATTAAGGCTAAATTGGGCAATTAAAGGTGATAGAAATACAAAGTTTTTCCACATTATGGCATGTAGTAGAAAGAACAAGAATGCCTTATGCTCTATTTTGATCAATGGTTCTATTGTAGAGGATCCTTAAGATGTTAAGGCTGTTGAACAAAATCATTTTCTTGCTCTCTTTGCAGACTCTTGGTGTAACAGCCCAGGGTTGTTAGGTACTTTTAAAACCATTGGAGAATATCAAAGTGCAGAATTGTTGGAATCAGCTTTTTTAGAATCTGAAGTGAAGGCAGCAATTAGGAATTGTGAGGGTAATAAGGCTCCTGGCCCAAATGGATTTAATCTTAAAATGTTTCAGAAATGTTGAAATATCATCAAAGGAGATGTACTTCAATTTATGAATGAATTTCACCAGAATGGAAAGTTGGTTTGAGGTGTTAATAGCTCCTTTATAGCTTTGATTCCAATTGCAGAATATAGGCCCATCAGCCATATTGGTTCCTTGTATAAGATCCTTGCTAAGGTACTTTCCAATAGAATGAAGAAAGTCGTGCCTAAAATAATCAATGAT